AATTCATAACTGATACACCAATTATATTATTTAAAATCACATATCTTCTAAAGATTATTTAATTGGTCAAATCTTCCAAGTTCAAAAAATTATGAAATTAAAGAAATTTATGTTACTACAGTAATAATATATATCTTTTGAATTAAATTATAGATAAGTATTATATATCTTAATTATTATTTTTTTATTTTTAAATAATATTATAACTTTATAAAAATTTATAAAGTATTAAAATATTATGACCAAAATTGTTAAAGATTTATTATTTAAAATATAAGATAAATAGTCAAAATATATAAATTAATATAAAAATATGAAGAAGATCAAGTTTTTTTCTTTATTTATAATATAAATAATTTTGTAAATAAATAAAAATTAATTAAGAAATTTATATCAAAATTTATTAAACTCTTTGAAATTATTAGTAAAATATTTTTTATTATTTATAAATTATAATTATTATATAATATAAAATTATATTTATATTTTACTTTTAAAAAATATAATACAGATAATAATTTAATAAATATATATTATTATTTATTATTATTTTAGATAATAAAAAGGAATATAAATTAAAAATATTCTTGATAAAAAATTTATTATTATAAAACTTAATATCTTATTAAATAACTAAATTATTCTTTTTATAATATTATTTAAAAATTACTTAAAACTTGAAAAATATTATAAAAAAGATAAATATTTTAAAAATTCATATTTTTAAATATAAATAAGAAATAATAATAATATTATAATTTTTGATTAGCTACTATAACTTATTTATTACTAGCTTTTTTATTAAGTTATAATTAGTTATAATTTAAAATTTACTAATTATAAGTATATAATACTTATTTATTATCTTATTAAGAATATTATTATTATATAATATTTATAGAAATTATTAAAATTATATAATAAAATATATATAAAAATTTTTTTTATAATTTTATAATTAAAATAATTCTTATATTTTAAATCTCTTATAAATAGAAATTATTTGTTTAAAATATATTTTTAAGCTTTAAAATAATATAAAATTTAAAAATAATTATTAACTTATAATTTTTCATTTTTTATATATTTACTATATAATTTTAAACTAAATAATACTTTTTATAGATACTATATACTTTTTATATTATAAATTATTAATTACTTTTTAAATTTATAAATAACTTTATATTCAAAATATTAACTAATTATTCAAAGACTATAATACAATAGAAAAATATTATAAAACTGATATCATAACTTCTATCTTATATATTAAAGATTATTAATCTTAATTAATAGAGATAAGTATTATTTTGTAAGAATTATTTAATTTAATTATTAGTAAACTATCAGATAAGTTTATATAACTTTATAAAATAACTAAAATAAAGCTAGTCTTTCATAATTAAAAAATTTTATATGATATTAGATATAATAGTTTAGATGATATTAGATATAACAGTTTAGTAACTATCAGAAAATTCTTGATATTATTAAAGAACTAACTGGATTGATTGCAGTAATATCAAAATTACAAGATATAAAATGAAGAAAATTGAAAGAAAATAATATAGAATAATAAATCTTGTTTCAGAAATAATGATAAAACTCATATTAGAGATAATAAAAGAAAAGAAATAATATTAATTGTATTATTTTAATTATTAAATATAATGATAATGATGTTATAGTATGAAATATCTGGAATTATTTAGATCTCTTAATATATCTTGAAGAAGTTTATAAATAGTCAAAGATATATTAAAGTTCTAAAAAGTTATCTAATATCATTTATAAAGAGATTTAAAGAAGAAAAAAATGGGTATGAATTTCAACAGGACAATATTCCAATTTATAACAGTAAAATTACAATAGGTTCTTTGAAAATTTGGAAATAATAATCAATAAAATGACCTGGACAAAGTTCAGTTCTCAATTTCATCAAACATCTATAGGATGAACTTGAATACTATATTCGAAAATAAGAGTCATCTTCAAAAAATAAAAGAGAATTGACAGTGTTTCTTCAAGATGAATGGGAAAAAATTCCAGATAACATATATCAAAATTTAGTTCTTAGTATGAACAATAGAATAAAAGCAGTTTTAAAGATCAATGAATATGTTACCAAGTATTAATAAATATTTTAACAATATTTTTACTTCACAATAGTGCTTGAATGCCATCACAAATGCCTTTTTTACTAAAAATTTGTTACATTTTTGTATAATAAATTTAAAATTAATTCCTCAATGTGATCAGATTTTTTTCTGAAATTTGGGAATTTTGATAAAGGCCTTCACACACTTTCAAACAATATATATTTGCAGGGTGTTGTGAAAAATTTTAATTTTTAAATATTCAGATAACGAAACTCGATTTTTAATGAATTCGGTTGCATTTAAATGGATTCTAGGTAATATTGGAATTATTATAGTTAAATTATATCGAAATTTTGCATATATTGCATTGAAATGTCTGCTAACGTCAATTTAAATTTAATGGCATTTGAGTGCTTCTTCACGGAGTTATTCGAGATTTAATAAAAATTAGAGGGTGGTCGGTAACTTATGAGACGGAGTGTACATGTAAAAATTGCGATATGTAAGATGATAACTAAATATTATATACAGTACATGTATTTTGCACAACATTTTGTTTAGAATCATTCATTATTCTGCAGTGGGTCCAAAATTTTTTATTTACAATCGGTGCATTATCATATTTAAAGAATGCTTTTACCGTATACCATGTTCCTTCTTGTTCTAACAGCAGATCATAAAGTTTCTCTTCCTCTATGCAATGTACTTCGAACCACCAACTAGCGCTTGGAAACTGTTGCAGATAAGCTATATTAATGACGAATCCTGCAAAATTGATGATATTTTTCGCGAGTTCGAGATGATCCTCATATAGCAGGTTATCCACATTCCGGAAGATTGGTCCCAACGTCTGAGAGATTTGTTGACATTTGAGAAAGAGTGCGCCAATAGCTAATGGCAAAGTAATTGTAATAATAAAAATTGTTAAGAATTTCCTTGCTGATTCAGATATTCTCTTGTATCTCTTTTTGCAAAAATAATATTCATAATTAAAGTTCAAAAGTGTGACCGCTAGGAACAATGAGAAACCCGAAATGAGTTTCAGATTCTCAATAATTTTATATAAATTGCAGCTGTTTCGTTGTTTTCTGATGTAAAACTTATATATTGAAAATATAAGCCAAAAGCAGTATTGACAGAGTATATAGAATTCCGCGTTGCGGATCTCCGTCTCGATGTTAAATCCATCACGATTGCGTAGTTTATAAGCGTTAAAGGAAATGGTGAAGATATTGATCGCCATCTTCATTAGAATCCAACAAAACTTTATAATGTACTTTAAATTGGTCTTTAACTCGGTTTCTACATCGATTATTGTAATTAATTCGTTAAAAAATTCTTCTGTTTCCCCTGAACTTTTGTTCTTTTCGAATTCTGTTTTTTCTGATGTGCATCTCTCTTCTAAATACTTTATATAATTATCGAAAAGGGGTGACTGAGTCATTGATAATGATTAAATGGACGTTTTTTCGTTAATTTAAATGAAAAGTCGACAAGACAGTCGTGGTCAATTAAAGTTGTGCAAAACAATGTCTTTTATAGCGATAGTTTTCTATCGTCAAAAAGGATAAGTCATAATAGCATTACATATACATATGCATGTATATCGATATATGGTGCGGGAACTCTTAAATCGGCAATTTGCTTCATACAAATTCTTAATTAGGTTTAGGAAGTATACGTAAGGATTTATAAATACTACATTTTCGATTTAACGTTAGCGCATTAAGAGTTCTTGCACCATTTTCCCTTATATGAAATGGGTGCTTGCAAAGAAGGAAAATATACCAATACAAAATGATTATTATAACACTGAAGTGTCGGTTTGCTGTCGTTATTACATGTATATGTGAAGCAGACTTTCACAATCATTTATATCGTAATTTATGTGTTTATACATCTATGGGAGCCTGTGAAATGGCGCTTTAGAGATATTTACGAAAATAACAAACATACATTCCTTATAAAAAATATTTTCAGGACGAGTATCTTTTTTTGAATAAATCGATGAAAGAATTTTTCAAAAAACATTTTTTGCGTTGTCAACGTGGAATTGAAATACAAGGACTAAAGAACACAGAGCTTCA